GGGGGGGGGGGGCGGGAAAGGTGCTGGCAGCCCCAGGTATGCATTGTCCATAAGGTTCATGATTTCCCAGGAACAGCTAGCAGAGTTTGAATATTCAAAGATGGGGAAGATTAGTCAAGTACTGCGTCATTTGGTCATTCTTGAGCGGAACAGTGTGACCTGGGGTAATGGAGTAATAAGGTTGCCCAGGCCTGGGTCATGGGCCTCTGGAGAGGGAATCATAGGGCCAAACCCTTCTCAACAACACGTAACAAACTTCCAATAGGCAAGAGAGTGTTGTAAGCAGAACATAGGGTAGGGGAATTAAGAATTCCCTGCAGGAAATTTGTGCAGGACTGACAAAAAACAGATGTCCACTACAGGGAGATAGTGAGAAAACAGAGCTAGAAAAGAGGCTTCTTTTGAAAAGAGGAGCAGGAGATGATCTATAACAGATGAGAGTTGTGTCTCCTTCATATGGTTGCTATGAGGATTAAATCAGTCAATGAATATAAATCAGAACAGTGGTTGGCACTTTACAATCACTCAATAAATGTTATTAAGTCCTATTATTATAAGGACTCAAAGTTGGCCTTAATCAGGACGAGACATTTGAAAACATCGAAATCAATGCAGCTCCTTCTCATTCCCCTTAAAGCAAAATACAGAGCCTTAATTTCGCAAGGATGGACAGAGGTAACTGCCTTGGTTCTATGCATCCCTTGGCACAGGATTGTTCGCCTCCTACTCCTTATCCTACTTTTCCCCTTAAGCTTTGTTACTTTACATAAAAAATTGAATCTTAGACTATGTATTAGACCATAAAGCAAGACTCAAAAGAATTTCAGAGAGTTGGAATCATATACTCAAGGACAGTGCTATTCAGTAAATCTTCCCTCAGTGATGAAGGTGTTCCATATATGCTATATAATGGCTTCCATACCAGATAGTGCAGCTCCAGAGCAGGGTCAGCCCATGGCCTACTTTTATATGGCTGCAAGCTAAGAATAATTTTAACATATTTAAAGAGCTATAATAAAAAAAACAATACGCAGCAGAGACCAGATGTGGCCTGCACAGCCTAAAATATTTAGTTTGACCTTTTACAGAAATAGTTTGCCAACCCCCGTTCTAGAGTATGTTTTAGACTATAATGAAATTATACTAGAAATCAGTGAAGAGATAATAAGAATTCAATGTCTTCACTTCTTATAGGTTGTTAGGATTTTCTGTATACTCTTAAGTCCGTTTTGGTAGTTTGTGTCTGCATTAGTTTCTTAGGACTCCTGTAATAAAGTACCACAAACTGGGTTGCTTAAACAAGGGAAACATTGTTCTCACAGTTCTGGAGGCTAGAAGTCCATGATTAAGATGTTGGCAGGGTTTCTTCTGAGGGCTGTGAGGGAGAAGCTGTTCTATGTTTCTCTCCTAGCTTCTGGTGGTTTGCTTGCAATCTTTGGTGTTCCTTTGTTGTAGAGGCATCACTGAGACCTCTCTTTCATCTTCATATGTGTGTGTGTGTCCAAATTTCTCCTTTTTATGAGGACACCAGTGGTTTGGGGTTGGGGGCCCACTTCCTCCAATATGTATGACCTCAACTAGTTACATCTACAACAACCCTGCTTACAAATAAGGTTACATTCTGAGGTACCGGGGGTTAGGCCTTCTACATATAAATTTGGGGTGGGTACAAAATTTAATCCATAACAGTGTCTTTCTAGGAATTTGTCCATTTCATCTAGGTTGTTTAATTTGTTGGCATACAGTTAGTTGTTCATAGTATTCCCTTATACTCTTTTTTATTTCTGTAAGGTTGGTAATGCCCCTTCTTTCATTCCTGATTTTAGTAATTTGAGTTCTCTCTCTCTCTCTCTCTTTCTTTTTCTTTCTCTCTCTGTCAGTCTAGCTAAAGGTTTTTCATTTTGGTTGATTTCTTCAAAGAACCACCTTTTGGTTTCATTGATTTTCTCTATTGTTTTTCTGTTCTCTGTTTCATTTATTTCCACTCTAGTCTTTATTGTTGCTGGATACAACAGTAATATAAAAATCAGTTGCATTTCTGTATACCAGCCACAGTTAGAAAATGAATTTTTTAGAAAGAGACCATTTATAGTAGCATTAAAAAATCAAGTACTTAAGAATAAGGGATATAAAATGTACAATATTTCTGTGAAGAAAACTATAAAATGTTATTGAGTGACCTTAAAGAAAACAAATAAATGGAAGAATCCACCATATTCATGGATTGGAAGCCTCAATTTTGTTAAAATGTCAGTTTTCCTTAAATTAATTTATAATCCCATATAATTCCAATCGAAATTGCAAACAGGTTTTTTTTTTTGCTTGCTTGTTTTGTTTTAGTGTGCAATTTGACAAACTAATTCTAAAATGTATATGGAAATGCAGAGGGCCAAGAATAACCAACACTTTCTTAAAGGAGAATAAGGTAGAAGGATGCTCTTGAATATCAAAAGACATTATTAAGTCAGAGTGTTAATTGGCAGGGAGATATCGATAGGCCAGCAGATTAAGATAAAGAATTCAGAGTAGTCTGTGCATATATGAGCACTTGATTTATGGTAAAGGGTCTTTTTCGGGAGATGATGGGTATGGGGAAACAATGAAATTGGACTCATACTTTGCACTGTGTACAAAAATCAAGTTTAGGTGGGTTATAGACCTAAATGCATAAGGCTAAACAGTAAGCTTTTAGAAGATGACATATTTCATGGCCTCAAGGTCAGGAATGGCTTCTTTTTTTCCAGAAATATATTTTATTTTGTTAATTTATTTTTATTGAGGTATAATTGACATATAACATTGTACTATTCAGGTGTACAACATAATAATTCAATATTTGTTTATATTACAAAATGATCACCACTAGTTAGCATCTATCACCATACTTAAGTTTTTTTTCTTGTGATGAGAACTTGTATGTATTTTTTTTGAATTAACTTTTCTTTATTTGGAATCTGATTATCAGCAGCTCTTTATATGTTTATTTTTTAAGCATATAAACAATTTTTTAAATTTTATTTATTTATTTATCTTTGGCTGTGTTGGGTCTTTGTTGCTGCACATGGGCTTTCTCTAGTTGTGTCGAGCGGGAGCTACTCTTCGTTGCAGTGCGTGGGCTTCTCATTGCGGTGGCTTCTTTTGTTGAGGAGCATGGGCTCTAGGCGCATGGGCTTCAGTAGTGGGGCACACAGGCTCAGTAGTTGTGGCTCACGGGCTCTAGAGCACAGGCTCAGTAGTTTCGGTACACGGGCTTAGTTGCTCCGCGGCATGTGGAATCTTCCCAGACCAGGGATTGAATCCGTGTCCCCTGCATTGGCAGGCAGATTCTAAACTACTGCACTACCAGGGAAGTCCTAAGAACTTTTAAAATCATCTTTCCTGGCAAATTTCTAATTTTCTATATAATATAAGCTATAGTCACCATGTTGTACAGGGAATGACTGCTTGAAAAAGACACGGAAGGCATTAAATATTAAAAAAAAAGTGGAATACATTAAAAATTTTAAACTGAGTATGTCTTTTTATATCACAAGACACCATTAAGAAAATGGAAGGTCAAAAGCAGAGTAGGAGGTCCTTCTAACACATGATGAATCCTAACATCACAATTTTGAGCAAAAGAAGCCAAGCTCAAGGAATATACATTATATGGTTCCATTTCTGTAAAATTTAGAAATGGGCAAAACTCACTGCACTGTTTAGAAATGAATACTTAGGTGGTAAAACTCTTAAAAAAAGCAAGGAGTTTTCTTGATTACCACAAAGGCAGGACAGAAGGAGGGCCTTCTGGGTTTACATAGATGTTAGCTTCATAATTACATTAAATTATACTTTTATGTCTTGTGCGCTTTTCTTTCTATTTTTCAACAAAATAAAAGGTTTTTAAAATGGAATGTAATTTTTGCCTTTTTGATGGCTTATTTGTATGAGAAGATACTCTTAACGTTTTTAAGAAAACTATTTTCTCCTGATTTTTGGAAATCTTTGCAAATAGGTCAGATTGGCTAGGTGCAGACTGAGGATGGTTTCACAAATCAAACTCTTAAGACTTCTAGCTCTGATTTAGTTTTAACAAACAGAAGAAATTAATCTGTACCAAAATAGAAATTAGGTTGGTGTCTCTTTACCTTTCAGTTTCATCAAAGCTGTTATATGAAAACCTGAATCTTCTGATGGTTTTAGTGTTTCTTTTTTTCTGCTTAAAGCAATCAGTGATAAATAGTTGAGTGAAAATGATGACATGAAACTTATTAAAAAGAGCATAAATAATGGTAGGAGGAAAGAAGAAAGGGCATATGTTTGTAAATATATAATATATAAATAAGGTGTAAATAGTGAATGTGATCAAACTAATGAGTTTTACTGCTGCCTAGCCAGTCATAAAAATTTATCTCAAGATTATTAAATAAGGGATTATGCCTTGCTCAAATAGAAGTGAAATGTTCTTTGTGTCAATTATAAATTACTTGGTTTTACATTTTAGTAATTATCCCTTAAGACATCTTTCTTCTAATAATTTTATTGGAGTATAGTTAATTTACAATATTGTGTCAGTTCTAAGACAAGTTGCTTTAACTCTTGAATTATTTTGTTAGGGGTTGTGCATTCATGATGGTACCTGGAAGTCAGCAGTTTATGGTTTTGGAGATCAGAGTAATTTGAAAAAACTACGAAATGAGTCCAATTTGAAGCCTGTCCCAATTGTTGGTCCAAAATTGAAAAGAAGGTATATTATCTCAAAATCTATTCTTCAGTTTATCTAACCATATTGTTGTTTATCTGACTGTTAATAACATATGCTACTAAGAAAAACCTGGAGACTTTTATAGTGAGTTCAGGATTGTTTTCAAAGATAAATAAAATATAATTAATATGTTACCCTAAGTTGAAGTACTTCATATATAATATTACATTTGGATTCTGGGAAAATTCTGGAAAAAAATCAGTTTTATGACTCTTCACTATCAATATCAAAGTTAAACATCAATTAAATTTCATGCTGTAAAAATGTGATGATCTTATGTATATTAATCAACCTATTAATAGTATTTATATGTGAGAACTCTAAGCTCAGAGTTTGGCTGTTGAAATGAATGTTCTTCTTATCATTATCTAGGGAAATGGATGGGGTATAAAACATGGTTAAACTGTATGTGTTAAGTGCCCATGGTGTGAAGGATACTACATTGTTCCAACTTGTCACTTATTTGGGTGCAGGTATAGAGAACAAAGGACAAATACTGAAGTAAATTTTAATTAAGAGCAGATCTGCCATCTTTACTGTTATTATTAATTGCCTCAAGAAGAGTTAAGGTTTTTATTCAGAAATTCACCAGTTATAGTTGTGGTCACTGTAAATGGAGAAGATACAACATGCTTCTGTCTTGCAGGTGGCCAATTTCTTACTGCAGAGAACTCAACAGCTATTCCATTCCCTTTTTGGGAGCAGATGTGTCTGTTGTGAAGCGGACTCAGCGTTACTTGCACGAAAATTTAGAGCAATCACCTGTAAGTGTGAAGTATTTTTTAATAGAGAGTATTCTATGTTTGTTTCAGTTCCCCTGTCATTTTAATGTAGGATTTTTATGTTTATAAAGCAAAAAAATAAAGAGCTAAAATAGTGCATGTTTCGGTTTCTGGAAGCATAAAGAATTAGTAGTGTAGAACATTTTGCATTTTATGGGGGTGGTAATAGCCTTCTCCCATAATTCAAATCTGACCTTCTGAATACCTTTTTAATGTAACACAATAGCAGAAAGTTCAATATAGGAAATCCTGGTATCGTAAATACCCAACAGTCCTGTTGAGAGTTTCAGCTGCTAGAATACTCTTTCTGTTGCTTATGGAGGTGTCTAGGTTCTTCTCTCTTATCTCCTTGCTACCTCTAGAGAACTATCCTACTCCATTTGGTGAGGGAAGTAATTATTCCCACTGCTGAGACTTGAAGAGGAAACTATGTCAAGTTTAAAAAAAAAAAAAAAAAAAAAGAGTATTTTCTTACAGAAGAGATTGTAAGTGGAGTCTACCCTCTATAATGTATAATTGTTAAACTCAGGTATATTGTTATGGACTTCTTATATATAGATTATGTGGACTTTTGTGTTCAAATAGGGGGAGCTAATTACCTTTTGCAACAATTTTTTTTTAACATCTTTATTGGAGTATAATTCCTTTACAATGGTGTGTTAGTTTCTACTGTATAACAAAGTGAATCAGCTATACATGTACATATATCCCCATATCTCCTCCCTCTTCCTTTTCCCTCCCACCCTCCCTAGCCCACCCTTCTAGGTGGACACAAAGCACCGAGCTGATCTCCCTGTGCTATGAGGCTTCTTCCTACTAGCTATCTGTTTTACATTTGGTAGTGTGTATAGCTCCATGCCACTCTCTCACTTTGTCCCAGCTTACCCTTCCCTCTCCCCGTGTCCTCACATCCATTCTCTACGTCTGTGTCTTTATTCCTGTCCTGCCCCTAGGTTCTTCATAACCTTTTTTTTTTTTTTTTTTTTTTGGATTCCATGTATATGTGTTAGCATACAGTATTTGTCTTTTCCTTTCTGACTTACTTAATTCTGTATGACAGAATCCATCCACCTCACTACAAATAACTCAATTTCGTTTCTTTTTATGGCTGAGTAATATTCCATTGTATATATGTGCCACATCTTCTTTATGCATTCATCTGTTGATGGACACTTAGGTTGATTCCATGTCCTGGCTGTTGTAAATAGAGCTGCAGTGAACATTGTGGTACATGACTACTTTTGAATTATGGTTTTCTCAGGGTATATGCCCAGTAGTGGGATTTTTGGGTCATATGGTAGTTCTATTTTTAGTTTTTTAAGGGACCTCCATACTGTTCTCCATAGTGGCTGTATCAATTTACATTCCCACCAACAGTGCAAGAGGGTTCCCTTTTCTCCACACCCTCTCCAGTATATATTGTCTGTAGCTTTTTTTGTTTTTTGTTTTTTTTTTTGCAGTACGCGGGCCTCTCACTGTTGTGGCCTCTCCCGTTGCGGAGCACATGTTCCAGACTCCAGACACGCAGGCTCAGCGGCCATGGCTCACGGGCCTAGCCGCTCTGTGGCATGTGGGATCGTCCCGGACCGGGGCACAAACCTGTGTCCCCTGCATCAGCAGGCGGACTCTCAACCACTGCGCCACCAGGGAAGCCCATGTTTGTAGATTTTTTGGTGATGGCCATTCTGACCGGTGTGAGGTGATAACCTCATTGTAGTTTTGATTTGCATTTCTCTAATGATTAGTGATGTTGAGCATCCTTTCATGTGTTTGTTGGCAATCTGTATATCTTCTTTGGAAAATGTCTATTTAGGCCTTCTGCCCATTTTAATAATTTCTTTTTTAAAATGTCCTCCCTGGGGGCTTCCCTGGTGGCACAGTGGTTGAGAGTCCGCCTGCTGATGCAGGGGACACGGGTTCGTGCCCTGGTCTGGGAAGATCCCACAAGCCGTGGAGCGGCTGGGCCCATGAGCCATGGCTGCTAAGCCTGTGTGTCCAGAGCCTGTGCTCTGCAATGGGACAGGCCACAACAGTGAGAGGCCCATGTACCTCGAAAAAAAAAAAAAAATTAATTAATTAAAATGTCTTCCCAGTGTCTGATTTCTGGACAAGCTTTTGGAACATAACACATTCATAAAATGGAAACTGCTTTTGTTCGATATTTATGACTATAGAGTAAGTTATTAGTAGCTAACATTCTTGTATTACTTGGTCTAAGAAAGTAGGGAGTAACATCCTGACTTTATATTCTTCATCTAGGTTCAGTATGCTGCTTATGTAACTGTGGGAGGTGTAGCCTCTGTTATTAAGCTGATGTTTGCTGGACTTTTCTTTTTATTCTTTGTGAAGTTTGGCATTGGAAGGCAACTCCTCATAAAAGTAAGTAATATTTCTATGAAATTAGACCTTTAGAAGTATTTTCCATGAATTTTTGAAAATATCACTAAAGGTTTTTTTTTTCCTTTAGTTACCATGGCTCTTCTCCTTTGGTTATTTTTCAAAACAAGGTCCAACACAAAAACAGGTAACCCTTTCCTTTGTATCCAGGTCTCTAAAATAATATTTTTCTTTATTTCATTTTTACTTTTCCTCAGTGTAGTGAAAATAACAGCTAAGACCTGATGAAGCACTTACTGTGTTTCAGACACTCTTTTATGTTCTTTACATAAATTAGATTACCCAGTCTTTTCGAACATTCCTTGAGGTGTTATCTCCATTTTACAAATGAGGAAAATGAGTCACAGAGAGGCTAAGAAATTTGCCAAAGTCCTATAGTGAGTAAATGGCCAAGTTAGGATGAGAACCCAGTTATCTGGCTCCAGAAATTATATTCTCTTTACTTCATAGAGATTTCAAATATTTTTACTCTTCAATTTTTCTCCTTCATTTTATCCTCCTTTTTTACATCCTCTCTCCCCCTCCCCCCAGCTTCCCTTCCCTTTCCTCTTTCACACACCCTGGATCCCCGTGGTAGATAAGTTGAATTACCATCTGTCTGGTATCCTCAATATAACTGCTTCAGGCACTTCAGATTTCATGTGTAAAATCTAAACTTCTTTCCACCGAACCCTCTTCTTCCTTCTGTATTTCCCATCTCAGTTGGTGGCACTGTCATCTGCCCAGTTCTGAACCTAGGCATCATTCTAGATTTTTCTCCAAGTCCATCACAACTACCTTAGTTCAGGCTCTTATCCCTCTGTTCTTCTCTTCTCTCTCTCTCTCTCTCTTCCTTCTAATTGTGGTAAAATACACATGACATAAAATTCCCCATCTTAACCATTTTTAAGTGTTCAGTGGTATCAAGTACTTTCATATTATTATACAACCATCACCACCATCCATTTCCAGAATTGTTTTCATCTTGCAAAACTGAAACTCTATATCCATTAAAAAATAACTTTCCTTTCCCCTTTTTCCCCAGTTCCTGGCAAACACAATTCTACTTTGTGTCTATGAGTTTGACCACACTAGAACATCATGAGTGGAATCATGCAGAATTTGTCCTTCTGTGATCAGCTTATTTTACATAGGATAATGTCCTCAGAGTTCGTCCATGTTGTAGCATGTGTCAGAATTTCCTTTCTTTTGAGGCCAAATAATATTCCATTGTATATAGGGTTGTTTCTCAGTATCTTCAGAGGATTGGTTCCAGGATGCCCCACAGGTACCAAAATCCATGATGCTCAAGTCCCTTATATAAAATAGCATAGTATTTGCATATAACTTATAGACATTGTCCTGTATACTTTAAATCATCTATAGATTACTTTATAATACCTATGTAAATACTATGTAAATATTTGTAAATGGTATGTTAATAGTTGGTGGCATGAGGCAAATTCAAGTTTTGCTCTTTGGAAATTTCTGGAAGTTTTTTCCTGAATAATTTGGATTTGACATTGGATGAGTCTGTGGACACAGAAATCATGAATATGGAGGGCTGATTGTATATACCATATTTTGCTTATCCATTCATCTGTCCATAGACACTTGGGTTACTTCTATTTTTGTCTATTTTGAATAATGCCTTTATGAAATTGGGTGTGCAGATATCTCTTCAAGACCCTTCTTTCAGTTCTTTTGGGTATATTCCCAGAAATTCAATTCTTGGATCCTGTGGTAATTCTATTTAAAAAGTTTTTAGGAACCAACAAACTATTTTCCACTGTAGCTGCACCATTTTACATTCCCACCAACTGTGTACAAAGGTTCCAACTTCTCCACATCCTTACCAACACTTGCTATTTCCTTTTTTTTTTTTATAGTAGCCATCCTAATAGTTGTGAGGTGATCTCTCATTATGGTTTTGATTTGCAGTTCCCTAAATGATTAGTGATGTTGAACTTCTTTCCATGTGCTGCTTATTGGCTTATTTGTATATCTTCTTTAGAGAAATGTCTATTCATGTCGTTTGCCCATTTTTGTACTGTGTTGTTGAGTTCAAGGAGCTCTGTATATATTCTGTATATTAATCCCTTATCAGATATGTGATTTGCAAATATTTTCTCCCAGTCTGTGGGGTTGTCTTTTCACTCTGTTAATAGTGCAGGCCCTTATCTTTCAGCTGAACTGTTCATAGCCTTCCTATGATTTCTTTCTAATTCATCTTCCCACTGCTGTATAAGAAATCTATGATGCAAATCTGACCCTGTTCCCAAGAATGATTCTACATATGCAAATCAATCGGTGTGATACACCACATTAACAAAAGAGAATACAAAAATCATAGGATCATCTCAATAGATGCAGAAAAAGCATTTGATAAAATTCAACATCCATTCATGATAAAAACTCTCACCAAAGTGGGTATAGAGGAAACATATCTCAACATAATAAAAGCCATTTACCACAAACACATAGCCAACATAAAACTCAACAGTGAAAAGCTGAAAGCCTTCCCACCAAATTCAGGAACAAGGCAGATGATGCCCACTCTCATCACTTCTGTTCAACATTGTATTGGAAGTCCTAGCCACTGCAGTCAGACAAGAAAAAGAAATAAAAGATATCCCAATTGGAAGGGAAGAGGTAAAATTGCAGATGACATGATACCCTATATAGGGAACCCTAAAGACTCCACACAAAAACTATTGGAACTAATAAATGAATTCAGCAAGGTAACAGGATACAAGATTAATATACAGAAACCTGTTGCAGTCCTTTACACTAACAATGAAATATCAGAAAGAAAAAGTAAAAAAAAAATCCCGTTTAAAATCTCATAAAAAAAAAAACTAGGAATAAACTTAACCAAAGTGGTGAAAGACCTATATGATGAAAACTGTAAAACATTGATAAAGGAAATTGAAGATGATTCAAAGAAATGGAAAGATAGCCCATGCTCTTGGACTAGAAGAATTAATATTGTTAAAATGGCCATATTATCCAAAGAAATCTACAGATTTAATGTCATCCCTATCAAATTACCCATGACATTTTTAACAGAACTGGAACGAATAATCCTAAAATTAATATGGAACCACAAAAGACGCAGAACTGCCAAAGCAATCCTAAGGAAAAAGAACAAAGCTGGAGGCGTAACCCTTCTAGACATCAGACAATACTACAAAGCTATCATAATCAAAACAGCATGATATTGGCACAAAAACAGGCAGGTCAATGGAACAGAATAGAGAGCCCAGAAATAAAACCACACACCTATAGGCAATTAATCTTTGACAAAAGAGGCAAGAATATACAATGGAGAAAAGACAGTCTCTTCAGCAGGTGGTGTTGGGAAAGATGGACAACTTCATGTGTCAATGAAATTAGAACACTCCCTCACACCATATACAAAAATAAACTCAAAATGGTTTAAAGACCTAAATATAAGACACGATACCATAAAACTTCTACAGGAGAACCTGGGCAGAGCATTCTTGGACATAAATCATAGCAATATTTTCTTAGATCTGTATTCCAAGGCAAAAGAAATAAAAGCAAAAGTAAAGAAATGGGACCTAATTAAACTTAAAACCTTTTGCACAGCAAAACAAACCATCAGCAAAATGAAAAGACAAGCTACGGACTGGGAGAAAACATTTGCAAACAATGCAGCCAAACAGGGGTTAATGTCCAAAATATACAAACAGTTCATACATCTCAGTATTAAAAAAAATCCAATTAAAAAATGGTCAGAGGGCTTCCCTGGTGGCGCAGTGGTTGAGGGTCCGCCTGCCGATGCAGGGGACACGGGTTCATGCCCCGGTCCAGGAGGATCCCACATGCCGCAGAGCAGCTGCGCCCGTGAGCCATGGCCGCTGAGCCTGCGCGTCCGGAGCCTGTGCTCTGCAGTGGGAGAGGCCACAACAGTGAGAGGCCCGTGTACCGCAAAAAAAAAAAAAAAAACAAAAAAAAAGGTCAGAAGATCTAAATAGACATTTCTCCAAAGAAGACATACATGTGGCCAAGAAGCCCATGAAAAGATGCTCAACATCACTAATTATTAGAGAAATGACAAAACCACAATGAGCTATCACCTCACACCAGTCAGGATGGCTATCATCATAAAGTCTACAAATAATAAGTGCTGGAGAGGGTGTGGAGGAAAGAGAAGCCTTCTACACTGTTGGTGGGAATGTAAATTGGTACAGCCACTATGGAAAACAGTATGGAGATTCCTTAAAAAACTAAAATTAGAGCTACCGTATGATCCAGCAATCCCACTCCTGGGCATATATCCAGAAAAGAGGAAAACTCTAATTCAGAAAGATAAATGCACCCCAATGTTCATAGCAGCACTATTTACAATAGCCAAGGCATGGAAACAACCCAAGTGCCCGTCAACAGACAATTGGTTTGAGGAGATGTGGTGTATATTACTCAGACATAAAAAAAGAATGAAATATTGCTGTTCGCATCAACGTGGATGGACCTAGAGAATACCATACTAAGTGAAGTAAGACAGAGAGAGACAAATATTATATGATATCACTTATATGTGGAGTCTAAAAATTGATACAAATGAATCTATATACAAAACAGAAACAGACTCAGAGATAGAAAACAAATTTATGGTTACCAAAGGGGAAAGGGCGAATAAATTAGGAGAAGAGGATTAACAGCTACAAACTACTATACATAAAATAGATAAGCAACATGGATTTACTATATAACACAAGGAACTATGTTCAATATCTTGTAATAACCTATAATGGAATATAATGTGAAAATATATATATATACACGTATAACTAAAATCACTTTGCTGTACACCTGAAACTAACAATACTATAAATCAGCTATACTTCAATAAACAATAAAATCTGACCCTGTTATCACCTTCTTTCAAATACTTCCCTGGCTTATTGCTTTGGCAATGACTCTTACAGCTGGGACTTTATATATCAGAATCACCCAGGGAGATTTTTTCAAATACATGTTTTGACCCTGGCATCTGGACATTCTGATTCAGTAGGTGTGGAGTGGGGCCTCGAAGGATAGGTCAGTGGTTCTCAGCTTTGGGAGAGAGCCCAAAACAGATGACCAGAGATGCGGGTTTGATTGGTGTGGAATGTGGCCTGG